AATGTAATTAGTTAACGGATGTCAAGGTGGGATGACCCTGGATTGCAGTGAGTCCTAAATCCAATGACAGGCATCCTTCTGAGAGACAGAAGAGAGACAGACGCAGACCAAGAGGCCACGTGGACGCAGCGGCTGAAACTGCAGTGATGGGGCCACTAGCCCAGGACACCTGGCGCCCCCAGGAGCTGAGCCAGGCAGGAATCATTGTCCCCTGGAAGCTCCAGAGGGAAGATGACACAATTGTTTTGAATCCAACTATCGTCCCCTTCGATTTCCTTGAATTTGTGAATGGGGCCTTATTAGAAACACGACCTCTGCCAATGTCACTAAGTCAAGGATTTTGACACGAGATCGTCACGCATCTCATAAATCCCATGACAGGCGTCATCTTTAGACACAGCAGAGGAGCCGGGCGCATCACCTGAGGCCAGGAGTTCGAGGCCAGCCTGACCAACATGGACAAACACCTTCTCGACCAAAAATACAAAAATTAGCCAGGTGTGATGGTGCACGTACGTCATCCTGGCTACTCCGGAGGCTGACACAGGAGGTGACACAGCCAGGGAGCATCCTCCCCTACAGCAGAAGACACACAGGGCATGAAGGCATCGCCTCTTTGCCCACAGCTCAGCTCTGTGGGGGGCAGGGGGATCTCACGTCCGGCAAAAACGTGGCATCCCAAGCAAGTTCTCCGTGTCACCGGATGCGTGACAGGACCAGGCTGTCTTTGCGAGAAACACAGACACCCTCTGGAGAAAGCGCCGTCCCCCCCCACCCAGCCCCCGCACGTTTGTCTGGGGGATGCCGAGGTGCTTCAGGGATTACCTTTTAAACAGGAAGCCGAGGACCAGGGCACACACCACGGTCCCGAGGACCAAGGGCACGTAAATGTACACGGCGCTGGTCTGCCCGTCATCAGACCCTAGATAGACACAGGAATGCATCTGGTGTGAATCGCTGACGGACGTGGAAAAGGAAATCAGCTTTTTTTTTCCTTCTTTTGGGGGGGAATGGGGGACTGCAGTGACTCACGCCTGTCATCCCAGCACTTTGGGAGGCCGAGGTGGGCGGATCACGAGGTCAGGAGTTCGAGACCAGCCTGGCCAACATGAAAAAACCCCATCTCTGTGAAAAATACAAAAATTAGCTGGTTATGGTGGCATTCGCCTGTAATCCAAGCTACTTGGGAGGCCGAGGCAGGAGGATTGCTTGATCCCAGGAGGTGGAGGTTGCAGTGAGCGCTGAGGTCACGCCATTGCACTCCAGCCTGGAATATTCTGTCTCAA